ATCGATTCAATCAATACTATAAATAGTTCAATTGATAATCGCTTATCAAGCATACGAGTAGTTATATAGTAGTAGAGGTAAAATAACCACGATTCACCCCCATCTAAGTTGCTCAGTTAACCGACGTGAAATGATATTCAAATTTACAAAATAACCCTTTGTCTTTGCAACAGACAACAATACCCATTTTAGAGTTTATTTAACGATACAATTTGACGAGAAACAAGATGGCTGGCCATTAATTTTAAATGGCTATCTCTCTCCATTAAAACGAGGAAAGACACGGTGTGTACAAAATAATTAATTATAACTGAGAGATTACAAATTTTGTAATATTTTAAAGGTTATTGTCGATTTTAAATTGCGCGGCGGCCATAAAGTTTATTAAAGTTGTTATAATTTTACAAGTTTCATAATAATAAAGTGTTTTTGCGTACTTTTAAACGAATAATTTGGCCGGCAGCACACCTTTTTTTATACAACTTAGAATGGCAAACAAGCAGACGGCCCACCTGATGGAAAATGGTAACCGTCGCCTATAGACATAAGCAGTACCATGGACATAACAGAGAATACTGTTTCGCCTATGATAACCCCCATGCGTTGCTATTCCTGAGGACTCAGGTGTTATTCCTCTGTACCCTGTAAATTCACGCCATATCGCACCCTTCAAACCGAAACAGCTATGCAAACACAACTGCTTCACGCTAGAAACACGAATGGGACAGAGGTACCCAAGCAATCGACTTTTGTACAAAGTCTCCCTCTGGTATAATTTTTATCCGATATCTTTGTAATCTATATATTTGTGTAACGAGATATTAATTAACTCACTGCAATGCGAGACGTTGTGACTCAAAGCGCCGTACGCCCCTGAAGAAGACTTCTGAATGAAGTCGAAACAATTGTCGGAAACGACAAACATACAATGAGTTCATTTATTTCCTATTACATATGTATATGTTATACATATGTATATGTACATATACATATGTATATATGTTATGTACTTTCAAATTTATGTTTTTTTTAATGGGTAATAATGAAAATCTACCAGAGGGAGACTTTGTACAAAAGTCGATTGCTTGGGTACCTCTGTTCCATTCGTGTTTCTACCGTGAAGCAGTTGTGTTTGCATGGCTGTGTTTCGGTTTGAAGGGTGGGATATGGCGTGAATTTACAGGGTACAGAGAAATAACATCAGAGTCCTCAGGAATGGCAACGCATGGGGGGTATCATGGGCGAAACAGTATACTCTGTTATGTCCATGGTACTGCTCATGTCTATAGGTGACGGTTACTACTTTCCATTAGATGGGCCGTCAGCTTTTTTGCTATTCTAAGTTGTATAAAAAAAAATGGTCTGCGCTTGCGCTATCGGTACATGATGGTGGAGTACTAGTAAGGGATGATAGGTGAGGATGAAAAGGTCAGTTAGCCTATCGTGATGATTATATCTAAAATTCAGCACGGTGACTTCCAGGGAGGACCACGTGAAGGTCAACCTGACATGATATATTGCTAGCAATGGGACTGGTACTGGTAAACGACTCTTTTTGCATGTTAGTTTTTCAACCTGTCTTGTGAAATAAAATCTTAAATGTTTAAAAATGCATTTTTGCATTTATGATTTAATTTATAAAAAATGAAACTATTAAACTTTTAGACCCTTTTGTATTTAATATTCAGTTAGTGGATGCCATATTTGGGTTGTTATAGTTAGAGAAGTTATTATCTACGAGTAGTTGGTATTATCAAGTTTCCGGATAGTTATAAACTCGGTCCGGACAAATGAGAGACTCGGGTTCGAATCAAGTTAGAGTTAATCGATCATATTCTTCTAGATGGAACATCAAGTGTAAAAAACGTCACAAAAACAATCAAACAATTATACATTTTTTGATGTTTCAAGTAAAAATTTTAATATTTTAATACTAAGGTGAATGTTTTTGTTATTCATTTATCATTATTTCGGCCGGTAACTGTCCACTGCTGGACATAAGTCTTCCCCATAAGGGAAGTTTTGCTAGTAGTTGCCACGCTTGGCAGGCGAGTTGGCAACCGCAGTTAGGCTTTGTTATTCATATTCATGCTTTATTTGGACGAACAGTCTTGATCAAAAGGTGATCTATGAGAGAAATTCACTTATCTGCTTACGAAACAAAAAATTGGACTGTTTTTTGTATAGTATTTATAGACGTAACATATATGTTTATTAAAATATAAGAAATTCCAATTAAGTTCGGTTAAAACTTTAATATAAAATTATAAATTTAATGTAATTTTTTTTTAGAGAATCTAAAATAAACATAATTATTATAAATACCTAAATGACGTTCTTGTTTCTGATCTGAGATCTACAATTCACAGCGATATCTATTAAATTGAATAGAGGAACTAGATTTAATTAAAACGTTGATTCGTTGACACCAATATTGTAATGACTAAAACAATTATGAAATGTCAATGAAAAACGCTGAGTGGGATCAGTTTTGTAGTACTAAACAAATTTGGAAAGTTGAATTTTCGCTGCGACATCGTCTCCATCTACGAACACCAATATCTTTGGTTTCTCTATATACAATTATTTATCAAATGAGTATAGGCATATATATTTTACTTACATTTTTCTATTTTTATCCGCTATTTCGTACTCACAGATTTCAAAAATAGGAAAGCCATGATTTTTTTTTGATGGATGAAAATGGAATGGTAACTCCGCTTGCGCTAACGGGATACGCTGGCGGAGCACCAGCGAGGGGTGATAGATGAGAATGAAAACAGGCCAGTTAGCCCATCGTGATGAATTTATTAGGAATTAACCATGACAGTTTCCAGGGGGAATCGCGTGGAGGTCGATCTGGTTGATTGCTAGCAATGGGATTCTCAGTTTCCATTACTAACCCTTTCCCCCCTAAGCCAATGAATAAGATTACTTCTAGATGATATATCAAGTTAAAACATAGGTAGATTTTAAGTTAAACCTTGAGGAATATTTTTTTATACAGCTTAGAATGGCAAAAAAGCTGACGGCCTACCTGATGGAAAATGGTAACTGTCACCTATAGACATGAGCAGTACCATGGACATAACAGAGCATACTGTTTCGCCCATGATATCTCCCATGCGTTGCCATTCCTAAAGACTCAGGTGTTATTTCTCTGTACACTGTAAATTCACGTCTTTCTCTCACCCTCCAAACCGAAACACAGCCATGCAAACACAACTACTTCACGGTTGAAACACGAACGAGACAGAGGTGCCCAGGCAAACGACTTTTGTACAAAGTCTCCCTCTTGTAAAACCTAAGATTTACCAATGTACAGACTTGTACAGTAACATATATGTATTATATATACATCAATATAATTGCCAACTCGTGTGTAAACAGACCGTAAAAAGCTTAAAGGCTGTCTGCCTCATTTTAACAGTATGACATACCGAGCCCTTAAGATGAATAGACTGCCAGAGTGCTTTTTATTTGAAGGGGCTGTGGGGGGAGGGAAGGGGGGGGGAGCGTGAAAACAAGCCGGTGTTTCTTGCGACCGCAAACGATAAAATATGACGCGGCAAAAACTAAATTAATGGAATCGTCGCCGACGCCTCATATTTAATTTCAATGGTTCGCATTTGCGATTGTTTTAAAAAGTCCATTAGCAAATTGTCAAGTGAAATGGGAGACGCGGAATGAGATGATATTAAAAATATTTCTCAATAGTTGCGCGGTGGCACAGTGGTATGTTTTATGTGTTATAATTTAGGAACGTATCACTTGTGGTAGTAATTAAGAGGTATATTCTCTGTATCCTTTTTAATTCTTAGTCTTTTACATCGTCTTCATATCAGCTGTTAACTGAAAATAGGCCTCCATATAAGGGGGTTTGGCTAGTAGTTGCTACGCTTGGAAGGCAGGCTTTTTTCATGTAACCTAGAATGGCAAACCAGCTAACGGCCACCTGATGGATAGTGGTAACCGTCGCCTATAGACATGAGCAGTACCATGGACATAACAGAGTATACTGTTTCGTCCATGATACCCCCCATGCGTTTCCATTCCTCAGGTGTTATTCCTCTGTACTCTTTCTCCTTCTGGTAATATAATATACTTGTAAATAATATAGGTGAAAGAATTTTTATAATCAGTTGAATAGTTTTTGAGTTCACCCATTTCAAATTAACAAACGGATAGTCAACTTTTTCCTCATTATATTATTAGTATATATATAAATATATTTTATATTAAATTGCTGTTATTTAATTCACATTATAAATATCGATTACCAGGAACTTTTACAAATATTGTAACCATGTAATTACCCGCATAATGGAATAAATCCACCATGAGTGGGGATTATTAATTCTCACAGTTAATAGAAAACTGTCAAAAACTGGAGGGCATTAATTTTACACGCCATTAGGCGAGCTCGGCTCGAATCGAACGAACGATATCTTATACGATATTATTTCTGACGCTATTCCGTTAATTACTTGTGTCGAAAAAAGGCCGAGGGAACTGTTCGAGTTATTATTAGAACGATGCTAATAAAGCTATTACAGGTTTATTCCTTTGCTCATCGATCATTTGTCGGTGAGGGCGTGATTGTGTTGGTTGGTGTAAGATATTTGTTGTGGACTTATTATTTTGCAATGCATTTCCATGGCCGCGAGCATTGCTTGGGTACCTCTGTCCAATTCGAGTTTCAACCGTGGAGCAGTTGTGTTTGCATGGCTGTGTTTCGGTTCGGAAGGTGGGATATGGCAATGAATTTACAGGGTACAGAGGAATAACACCTGAGCTCTCAGGAATGGCAACGCATGGGGAGTATCATAGGTAAAAAGATATACTCTATTACGTTCACGGTACTACTCATGTCTATATGCGCCGGTTACCACTTTCCATCATGTGGGTCGTCAGCTTGTTTGCATTGTATGCATTCTAAGTTGCATAAATAAAGTAGAATATTATAGTTGCAGAATTCTAAGATTATTAAAAACTACATAATGTGTTATAATGCCTTACGTATTTAGATTTATTTGAATGAATTTACATGTAATTGTTAAGTCATCAGGTTTATTAGATTTCTTCAAAGCCTTTCTGTGCTTCGTTGTTCATCTTGTAAAATAAGTCCCAAAATGCAACTCTGTCATTGAGTGGTCTAGATTTTAGGGACAGTTCCGAATCTATACTCAAGTAATAGTAATTATCTTTTGTCAGTGGAGTCCACGTGACTGGCAGTAGATCTGATGTCTCCGGTGTGGGGTCACTGAAAAATAAAAGAAAAATATAGTTGATTCTTACAGACAATTAATATTTTCACTTAAAATTATGTTTCTGAATATAGAATTGAAATAGTGTTAGACGTATATAAATTTTTTTGTTATTTAATTAAATATAATAAAACAATAGTGTTATATAAAAAGAAATATAATTGTAATATATTTTTCCTTAAAGTCCGTTTTAGAAAGCAATTAACTAATAAGAACTTAAGTGATATTTCTTGACTTGAAAATTAAGACAAAGTATTTCTGAGCCGTATTGATCAAATTGTGTTTACAAAACATGAATATAATTAGATTAATAAAATTAATGTCACTAGATAGATATAAATATTAAAAAAAAAATGTGATGTTCGCGGAGCAGTTCATGTTTTTAGTTAATGGTCATATCTACCTACTAGTTGCACCAATTGGGAATTCTTTACAAATCATCATCTATGATGATTCACAGATATATTTGTTGCTGATCAATTTTACTGACTTACCCGTATTTAGCAAAATTGGCCCACATAGTAGTCATTCGGTTTAATACAAGTACATCTTGTGGATTTTCTTCAGTAAGGAATGGCATATCGAACAAATATCCCAACTCATCAGCATGCAGCGCACCTTCTACAGTAGAGTTGAGACTTATTTTATTGTAATTTCTTCCACCACTATATGAAAACATGTAGTAATATATGTTCCCAGAGGAGCTTTCCATATATTTTCTAATACTCCTTTGAATTGGTTGAGAATAAGTAAAATCAGTATCAAATTTTGCAATCTCTTCTATTAAGTTTATACTAATTTTTTCATCACCCATATAGAAATGATGAATAATATTCTCTAATTCTGCAAGTTCATTTTCGTCAAAAGTAAACATACTTTTTAGTTTGTCACGTATCAAAGTGAAACCTTCAAAATATTCTGGTCCCTCGTTTACATATTCATACAATCTTTCTTTATTATTAAATCCTATGAGTATTGGTAATCCCCTCGCTTTTGGTATTTTTGCGCTGATCCAATGTTTTGTTAAAAATGGTTCGACATTATCGAATTCCTGTTCCACGCATGGCTTAAAAATCATATTTAAAGCTCTTGCAGCAGAAATTACTGAATTAGAATCTGTCTGAGCAAGATAATTTAAAGCATCAGTTACAGAGTCAGTTTCAAAACCAAGGAATTCTGCTATTTTTATAGGAGCAAATTTATCTGGTTCATCTGGTGTTTGCATAATTCTAGTAGCCAAAGATGTTCCACTCTCCATAATAACACGATTGAAAAGATTTTCAGAGTCAGACAACAGGTGAAAATCTACTGATATAGAACCAGCACTCTCTCCAAATAATGTTATTTTACTAATATCACCACCAAATGCTCCTATATTATCTCTGATCCATCTCAAAGCTAGTAATTGATCTCTTAATCCTTGGTTACCTGGTACTTCTGGTATATCTAGACACATAAAACCGTAGGGTCCAAGACGATAATTAATTGTTACTAAAATTATGTCTTGTTTCAATAAATATTTAGGCCCGAATTCTATTTTTCTTCCACTACCGGTTGCAAATGAACCGCCATGAATCCAAGCCATTACAGGTACTCGATTTTGGGTACTAGCTGAATTCGGTACATAGATATTCAAATATAGGCAATTAATGTTGCCCACATTACCTTCAGAAGACCCGTATTGAGGACATAACATCAAAGAATCGTCGTAAGCTTCATATACACCTTCAAATTTTTCATAAGGAACTGAAATCTGGAAATTAAGTATTTTATTAAGTTTGTTAACATTTGTATTATTTTGTACTATAATTGAAAATAAACTGGAAACGTCAGGACAATAATTCATAACAATATTACAAAATTAAACTATTAATGATTTATACAGTTTATTAACAAAGAAACACAGATACGAGTATATTCCAACTGTATAGATATAAAGACTGAGGAATAACTACATGGAACAGATAAAAGAAAGACTAGGTGTCATGTCGTATAGGGAAGTCAAGGATATGGCCTGGAATAAAACTGGCTGGAAGAAGATGCATCAATTAATTGCACCGACAAGAGGAAACTCTTAAACGTTTATCCGATTTTTTCTGTCTTGCCAAAAAAATTTGATAAACATATATCAATATAATAGACTATGTTTCCGCAGTCCCTCTTACGATATTTGGAGAACAAAAGACGAAAGATTGTATTGTCACTCGATCGCTACACAGATTAATGGCATTTGTTCTTGATATCAATCTGTTTTTCGTATCAGCTTTTAATTGTTAACTGCTGAACATAGGCCTTCTTCAGAAGGAGGGTTGCCCGTAGTTGCAACGATTGGCAGGCAGGTTGACAACCGTAGATAAATTTTTGTTGATGTTTTAAGAGAGACGCTGCTGTTCATCTCTCGACCATTATGTTACCTTGATCGCTTCTTACGATACCCACGAGAAAGGAAAAAGTTTGCCGTCTAGTCTCCAGACGGTAAACTATACAAATATTACTACAGAAACTTATATTAATAAACTTACCCCAAAAGGATTATTCTCGTTGACTTTGGCAAACGGTACGCCAAGGAACATGGAATAATCACCGTCAGAAGCTCGTAGACCTCTTATTAAGCCAGCATTAGAATCAACTAAAGGATCTAATCGTAAATTATTACTTCGAACATGTCGTATAACAAAAATTGAAATTAAAAAGAGAAACTTCATTGTCACATACATCTTTCAGTTAAGATTTCTTGTCACTGACTACATGAGATTATTGATAAATATGTTGTGGAACTATTTATTGCGTAAGATCAGTATGTCAAATATCTGCCAGATCAATTTGAGATATGATTTCGCCGAACTACTCATATTATTTCATATGTGATATGATAGCTATCTAGTTACGTAAATATTGTCCATTTTTTTGATAAGGTTGAATTTGATTTTATTTATTTTTCAATAATCAAACGATTTTTGGGCTTAAGGACTTAAGATATTAACGTCAAAATATTAAACCCCATTTATTTGAATATCATACTTAGATTATTCCCTTTATTTGTGTTTTACGATGTTGCCTTTTGCCAAATTTCATGCTTCTAAGTATTCTACTTGAGTTATCATCAACATCATATCAGCCTTTAACTGTCCATTGCTGAACATAAATCTCCCCAGTGGCGGGTATTGCCAGTAGTTGCCATATTTGCCCGGTGGATTAGCAACTGCAGTTAGGGTTTGAAGATGTTTTAATAGGGACGCTGCTGCCTATCCCTCGTTCTCAATTAGTCGTCTCTTACGATACGTAAAGGAAAGGAAGAGTTGACCTATTCTATACCGGGACTACTACTTGAATATTTAATATTAATTTCAGTTTGATATCTCCACGCGTTTCTGAGAAAAAGGGTCTTAACAGATGGACTGATAGCTAGACAATAAAGTGTTCTATAAGGTTTCCATTTTTCCTTTAGAGGTACTGAATTCTAGAAATGAATGTGAGATAAATGTTTGTCTTTGTATGGGGAGAGAAATCATATATTTTAATAAAAATTAAATATTAAACAATATAATTATCAATATTTTATTTTTATAAGTTTTCTTCATAGCCTTTCTGTTCCTTTTTATTTGTTTCGTAAAATAAGTCCCAGAATGCCATTCTCTCGTTGAGTGGTCTAGATCCCATGGCCAGTTTTGAATCTATATTTAAATAATACCACTTATCTTTTGTTAGGGGAGTCCATTTGACTGGCAATAGTTCTGATGTGGCGGGTGTGGGGTCACTGAAAACAAAATTTATATAAAAGATACATATTATACAGCGCTAGCGTACAGTTTATACAAAAGTCGTGTGCAAGTGCCACTTATATTTTTCCTTCCACTAAGTAGTAGTCCTCTTTTTATACTACCAACTGGGTAGAAAGATCTTTATTCACTAATCGCTATCCATACGCCCAATGTGACTTAACATTGGTCAACTTCTAATCTACGTCTTTAACGTCAGTTTGGAAGCTAAATATGATGTTGGATCCATCCTCCTTACCTCTGAAATGATTCCTTTGTTTTTTGGCAAATTTTGACAAGTACATTCTAAATAGTAGTAATTATACTGGCACTGTTTTACTGACTGCCTATCATTACTAATACAAACAGACTATTAGTAATGGAGTCTAACATTTTTCCTTGGAAGTAATATAGGATTTAAGGTCGACCTGCGCGCGGTTCTCCATGGAAACCAGCGAAATAAAAAAAAGTATTGCGAAATTAATCATCATGGACTAATTGACCTGCTATCATCATCACCTATTATCTCGCTCTGCCAATACATACTGATAGCACAGATGGTATCACCATTTCAGTTATACTCATTAAAAATATCAATAACATTACTACTAATGTCTAAGAAAAGTTCACGAAGATTATGACTAAGGAAAGATACATACTACACAGACGTTATTTTCATTTTGCTATTTCATATTGTAACTTACCTATACTTAGCAAAATTTGCCCACATTGTTGTCATTTGTTCTACGATAACCAAGTCTTCTGGATTATCTTCAGGAAGAAATGATAAATCGAATAAATATCCAATTTCATCAGCATGAAATGCACCTTCTTCGGTTACATTCAGGGTCACTTTGTTATAATTTCTTTTACCACTATATGAAAACATATAATAGAATATATTTTCAGGTACATTTTCTATATATTGTCGAATACTTCTTTGAATAGGATGTATATACGTATAATCAGAATCAAAATCACCAATCTTATCTCTTAGTTCTATACTCATTTTACTATCTCCCATATAAAAGTGATGAATAATATTTTCCATTTCTGTAAGTTTGCTCTCATTAAATGCAAAAGTTTGTACTAATTTATCATGTATCACATTTAAATTGTCGAAATATTCAGATTGTTTTGTTGCATATTCAAACCATCGTTCTTTATTATTAAATCCCAAAAGTATTGGCATCCCTCTAACTTTTCTCGTATTCTCATTGATCCAAGGTTTAAGTATAAATGGTTCAACGTTACTAAACTCTGTTTCCACGCAAGGTTTAAAAATCATATTAAGATTAGTTGACGCGGCAATTATTAAGGTAGAGTCAGTTAAGGTCAGAAAATTCAGCGCTTCAAGTACAGATTCTGTCTTAAAACCCAGAAATTCTGCTATTTTTATGGGAGCCATTTTATCTGGTGTTTCTAGAACAGTTGCAGCTAATGCTGTACCACTCTGCATTATTACTTTATTAAAAAGATTATCATGCACAGATAAAAGATGTAAATCTACGGATATCGCACCAGCACTCTCTCCAAATAATGTTATTTTATTAACATCACCTCCGAATGCTTCGATATTATTTTTGACCCACCTCAAGGCTAATAATTGGTCCTTCATTCCTTGATTACCTGGTACCTCCGGTATATCGAGACACATAAAACCGTATGGCCCAAGACGATAATTAATTGTTACTAAAATTATATTTTGCTTTACTAAAAACTTGGGGCCAAATGCCGATTTCTTTCCACTGCCAGTCATAAATGCTCCACCATGAACCCAAATCATTACTGGTAAGCGGTTTTGGGAACTGGCTGAGTTCGGTACATAAACATTTAAGTATAAACAATTTATATTTCCCACTATTCCCATTTCTGATGAGTGAGGGCATAACATTAATGAGTCATTGTATGCTTCATAGACTTTATCGAATTTTTCTTGTGGAATTGACACCTAAAAAAGTGATATTTGTGAAAATACAAGAGAATTTAAACAGGCAGATTGAATTGTTATAACGTTGAGATGTATCCAGAGAGAGACTTTGTACAAAAGTCGATTGCTTGGGTACCTCTGTCCCATCCGTGTTTCTACCGTGAAGCAGTTGTGTTTACATGGCTGTGTTTCGGTTTGAAGGATGAGATATGGCGTGAATTTACAGGGTAAAGAGGAATAACACCTGAGTCCTCAGGAATAGCAACGCATGTGGGGGGTATCATGGGCGGAACAGAATACTCTGTTATGTCCATGGTACTGCTCATGTCTATAGGCGACGGTTACCACTTTCAATCAGGTGGGCCTTAGCTTGTTTGTCATTCTAAGTTGTATAAAAAAAAAATAATAATCTTTGACATTCAGTTCTCTCTACTCATCTCCAAGGTGATGTGAAAATAGATAAATATGGAATTATTCAAATTTACTTACCCCGAAAGGATTACTCTCGTTGACCTTAGCGTATGGTATGCCAAGGAACATAGAATAATCACCGTCAGAAGCTCGTAGACCTTTTATTAGGCCAGCATTAGAATCAACTAAAGGATCTATCCGTAAATTGTTACTTCGAACATATCTTAATACAAATATTAAAACTACAATTAGCAACTTTATTGTCACATACATGTTTCGGTTTGGATCTCTTGTTACCGACTGTTTATTGATAAATATATCTTGACACTTTGTTGCGTAACAACAATAAGGTAAGTGTACCAATTCATGAGCAGATAATGTGTTTGTAGATTTTATATAATAATTTTTAATGTTTGTAGATTGATTTATGATTATTCAATCGATTTAAAAAAGAAATAGTTTCTCAATTCTGTTGTATTTATTTTTTTTAATATTTGTAACCTCATAACTTATTTAGTTTTAAATCGATTTGGAAAATTATTATTTTTTTATCTGAACCGATATATTTACAGACTAGTTTCATAAAAAAAATATTATCAAAATCGGTGCAATAGTTCAGTTTTTAAATCAATATTTTTATCAAAAGTGAAGTAGATTTTTTTGTGAAACACCATTTTAATTTAGAAAAGTCATTGTAATATTATTTATTGTAAATTAGGTATTTATCATAAATTTAATATCTTTGTAATTATTACTTTTTAAAGACGGGTATCTTCGAAAATAACTATTTTTTATAGCTCTTGAACGCTTATATACTAGTTTGTGTTAAACATTTTGTCATTTCTCTATTACAAAAAATTAGATAAAGAAATGTCGAGACACATATAATAGCTATAAAATAAAATAAATAACATACCTGTCAATTCAATCTGATACCAATCAGATCTATCAAAATTACATTTACAATTCACTAAACAATTAACTAATCACAGTTAATATATATATATATATATATATATATATATATATATATATATATATATATATATATATATATATATATATACATATCTCTATCTATATATATATATATATACATATCTCTATCTATATATATATATAATCCCTATGGACACATTCTCCTTTCAAATTCTCAAGGAGGAGGAGGATAAGTCCTATGTATACTTTTGCTATAATCTAATGTCTATACTATAAGACGTATACAGTATTTGATACACTTGTGGAGCTGTTGTAAATAAAGGTCCCCCTTATCAATTATGTATTACAATAAGTGATAAAAAAAAAAAAAACGTGTAATGCGGTTACGTAACAACACATAAACATATAGATAAAAACACATGTGAATAATAAAATGTATTATTTAGTATAGAAACAACTATTAGAACTGTTTATTAAATGTACATTGATGAAGTGAATGTATGAAATTATGTATTTTTTTTTAATACAGGTCATGATTTTAAATACATTATCGGGACTTAATGCGATGTAAAACTTTTTGCAGGTAAATAGTACCTACGTACCTGCTTCTTTATTGTGGACGTTTTGACGTCTTTTTGCGATGACGACGTGGTGCAATCCACGTCGAATACTGAATAAATAAATACTGTTTACCTCCAAAAATTTCTCATCGCGTTAAGCTTCTTATGCAACTTAGAATAGCAAACAAGCTAACGACCCACTTGATGGAAAGTGATAACCGTTGCCTATAGATATGAACAGTACCATGGACATAATAGACTATACTATTTCGCCCATGATACCCCCCATGCGTTGTCATTCCTGAGGACTCAGGTGTTATTCCTCTGTACCCTGTAAATTCACTGCCATTCCACCCTTCAAACCGAAACACAACTGCTTTACGGTAGAAACACGAATAGGGCAAAGGTGCCCAAGCAAACGACTTTTGTACAAAGTCTTCCTCTGGTAAAAGTAAAGTCTGGTAAAGTCCCAATAGTGTATTTAAAATATGTGTAAACAACACGAAAATTTAAAATAACAGGTCAAGATTATTTACTAAGAACAATGTTTTACCCGTGACTTAGTCCGTGTGACCGGAATACTGTCTTATGTCTTTCTTATTCCCAAGCATATTTTCCCAATATATTCCCAAATATGAGTTGAGTATACCAAATTTCGTGAGAAACCAGCGAAATCGTTCAAAATTTAGAACTAACAAACAAATAAAAAAAAAAACAATTTTGATTTCTATAATATTATCGGTAATAAAGTAGTAATTTTATTAGTAAAGACAAGAATAACTTTAATGGATATAAAATGAAACTGATTTGAATGGAATTGTGTACACAGATAAATTATATTCTAATTTTACAAGTAGGATAATTATATATATTCTTTTTTATACCACTGAGGTGGCAAATAAGCATACGGCCCACCTGATGGTAAGCGGTTACCGTAGCCTATGAACGCCTGCAATATCAAAGGTATTACGCGCGCGTTGCCGACCCTGAAGAAACCTCTTTACTCCTCTTTTGAAGAACCCTGTGCTGTAGTCTCTTGGGAAAACCTCGGCAGGGAGCTCATTCCATAACCTGAGTGTTCGTGGTAGAAAACATATATATATATATATATATATATATATATATATATATATATATATATATATATATATATATATATATATATATATATATATATATATATATATAATATATTTCATTAAATATTATATTACTGATTCATACATAGTTCAAGGAATTATTTACTAAACTAAAAAAGGCAAATGATATACAATTTTATTGAGTAAAATATAAAAAAATAATAATGCTTATTGTAATTTTAAGACATCAAAAACAAACAAAATATGAATATGAAAAAGTACTATTTATATTGTGTAACTATATTTAAAAAAATAAAAGTAATAGAGATAGTAAAGGTATATGAGATACTAAATTTAGTATAATTATTTTGCATTTTCCGGATGCAAAACATACGGGATATAGCATATGATATTATATTTCTCTGAAGGAAGAATTCCGAAAAAAAAATAAGTAAACATATCCTTTTTATTAAGATTATTTTATATTTCTGAGTTTCGATCATAGCCTTTCTGTTCCTTTTTATTTGTTTCGTAAAATAAGTCCCAAAATGCCATTCTCTCGTTGAGTGGTCTAGATCCCATGGCCAGTTCCGAATCTATATTCAAATAATACCACTTGTTTTTTGTTAGGGGAGTCCATTTAACTGGTAGCGGTTCTGATGTGGCGGGTGTGGGGTCACTGAAAATAAAATTTAAGTAAAGAAATAACTCCAAAGATACCACAGACCATCGTCTAAATTGAGCTTGAATTAAAGTAGAGAAAAGGTGATATACATACTAAAATATTTTTTGTGTAAATACATGCAATAACAATACTTTTAAAATAGATCCAGACGCATTAATGAAAACATATGTTTGTATTATATTATGTGTGGATTAAATTCATAATAATCTAAAGACAACCTTTAAATTGATACAATAAAATGCAAATTGTATTGTAAAACCGCTGCACTACGTTTTGATACAATGTTACAACAATTGCCTTAAATTAATCAAATTTACAAAATACTATCATCATTAACTTCCTATCCTTATCCCAATAATTGTTTGGGGTCGGCGTAATATGTTTTTATACTTATCCATATTACAAAAAGATTTGGCTTATAGTTTTCAAACCGGCCTGTCTGTCTAACGTAAACTCTTCTTAGGAATGCATTTGTTGGTGGTTTTTGTCACCTACGGTATGGAAAATATTGAGGAAAAAGGAAGATTACGTTGCAAATGCGTAAAGAAAATTGGTAAATAAGAGGAATAAAGGACTTACGTGGGAAAGGAAAAGGGTGGGAACAATGCAGTTGCAGAAGACTGGGATACTGCAGCGGCTAGGGAGGTCGGGGTCGCATACCCGTATGCCCTTATTCTATAATCGGACAGATTTCTAAAGAAGGACATTCCTGACACCAAAAATATATAATGACGCAAATTTACAAAATGCTATATAACGAGGAAAACTCTTAACACGTGTAAGCGAGGAACGAATGCAAAATTTGGTTTTTAGAAATTACAAAGCATCTATGGAACTGTAGAGATTACTCTCAATTAAAAATTTCATATTGTTACTTACCCATATTTAGCAAAGTTTGTCCACATTGTTGTCATTTGTTCTACAATAACCAAGTCTTCTTGATTATCTTCAGGAAGAAATGACGCGTCGAATAAATATCCAATTTCATCACCATGAAAAGCACCTCCTTCGGTTACGTTGAGAGTTACTTTGTTAAAATTTCTTTTACCACTATATGAAAACATATAATAGAATATATTTTTAGGCGAATTTTTTATGTAGTGTCGAATACTTTTTTGAATTGGATGTATATATGTATAATCAGAATCAAAATCACCAATCTCGTCTCTTACTTTTATGCTTATTTTCCTATCTCCCATATAAAAGTGATGAATAATATTTTCCATTTTTGTAAGTTTGCTCTCATTAAAAGTGAAAGTTTGTACTAATTTATCATGTATTACATGTAAATTATCGAAATATTCAGCTGGTTTTGTTACATATTCATACAATCGTTCTTTATTATTAAATCCCAAAAGTATTGGCATTCCTCTGACTCTTTTCGGATTTGCATTAATCCAAGATTTAAGTATAAATGGTTCAACATTACTAAACTTAGTTTCAACGCACGGTTTGAAAAGCATATCAAGACTATTTACGGCGGCAATAATTAGATTAGGGTCAGTTGTAACCAGGAAATTCAACGCTTCAGGTACAGATTCAGTTTTAAAACCAAGAAATTTTGCTATTTTAATAGGAGCCAATTTATCTGGCTTTACTAAAATAGTGGATGCTAAGGCTGTACCACTCTGCATTATTACTTTATTAAAAATAATGTCATGTACAGATAAAATATGTAAATCTACTGACATCGCACCAGCACTCTCTCCAAATGCAGTTATTTTATTAACATCACCTCCGAATGCTTCGATATTATTTTTAACCCACCTCAGGGCTAATAATTGGTCCTTCATTCCTTGGTTACCTGGTACCTCCGGTATATCGAGACACATAAAACCGTATGGTCCAAGACGATAATTGATTGTCACTAGAATGATATTTTGTTTTACTAAAAACTTGGGGCCGTATGTCAATTTTCTTCCACTGCCAGTCATAAATGCTCCACCATGAATCCAAATCATCACTGGTAGACGGTTTTGTAAACTAGCTACATTTGGTACATATACATTCAAATATAAGCAATTTATATTTCCTACAGTGGTGTTTGATGATTTTTTATATTGTGGACATAGCATTAATGAATCATTATTCGCCTCATATATTTCTTCAAATCTTTCTTGTGGGATTGAAACCTGAAAGGTGATGCTTGTGAAAATATTGTATTTTGAGGTACTTGCAACAGTAGAAAAATGGAAAACATTTTTTCTAAAACAAGATCGTTTTTAAGTGTTTTCTATGAATACACATCGATCAGTTACGCTATGTATGTATGTATGATAAATTAACCTTAATTACATAAATAAATTTATGGTATTGCACTTGAATATGTTTACTTCTAAATCCTTATAATGTAATATCTAGATTGGTTGTTCTATTTTAGAATCTAGAGCACCTCTTTTGAACGAAAATACATTATATTGGAGAGTAAAGAAAATAAATCAAACGCCACTTTCTGTCTGGTGGACCGTCTATTTGTTTTCCATTCTAAGTACTATAAAACAAATGATATTTACAATAACTTCTTTCATAATATGTGTAGATCAATAAATTCTAAATTTATTCCGAAGTTTATAATCGATAACTTTAGGAGTTGGTGTGATATGCAACACTGTGCCTGACGAACGGATGAACAAAATTGCAAGGATTCTGAACTGGGCATTTTGAATTAAACCCAAAAATATCACAAAAAGTAATGTAAGCAAAAATATTTTGTACGGTAAAATTATGCTAAAGTTTTATAAGAAAATATGCAATTATTACAAAATGGTAATACGATTTCAATCCACTTACCCCAAAAGGATTACTCTCGTTGACTTTAGCATACGGTATGCCCAGGAACATGGAATAATCACCGTCAGAAGCTTGCAGGCCTCTTATTAATCCAGCATTTGAATTAACTAAAGGACCTTTTAGTAAATCGCTGCATTGTATACATTGAATTGTAGTGAGCAAAATTAGAAACCGTAACTGCAGTTCAACATACATTTTAGTCTTTTATTAAAATATCTCTTATGATGACGTTACTTGGGACAATTTCAGCTTATAGCAGAAATACGAGTAGATTTAATGCCGTCTCATGGCGAGACATCGAACTAAGCAATTAAAAAATAAGTAATAAATTTCAATTTTACAATGTATACAGTTTGCGATACAGTTCTATACGGCGCTAATGAATCCGATGCATCGGCGTTGACTATTTCTTTCTGAGCAAGGTTGCGACATATAGTGGCTCAAAGTAGTGATGTACTTTTCAAGTAGTGATGCGCCGTGTGCTCGATACCAAAATCGATAATTATTAAAAAAGAATAGAATCGCGTTTCGAGCTTGAGAATTCGGACGAGCAAATAAGTATACGGGCATTCGAGTACTTCATCGAACTCAGTAATTTTTCAAATGATTTCTAAAATTTATTTTAATAAAAACAACAAATGCTCAGTAACTTAAATAATTTTGGCTAATTAAAGAAAAAAAAAAAACAAAGAAACTTTGAAAAAAAACAAGATTTTATGATAAAAATTAAATTAGTATTCGAGTACTGCAAGTACTCGAAACCTGCATTCGAACTCTGTATCCGACTCGAGTACCTTATAGTCGCTTAGGATAAATCATTATAGATATAACTGGCTTTGCCTATGTACATATAGACAAATAATTAAATATGTTTATTGCTACACAGATGACATAAACATAGAAAGTAAGAAAATATATAATTATCACAAACAAACATGTAATGCTATGAAAAGGTAAGTAATTTAATAATACAGTTCTATAGAAGGTATTGATAATGAAAAAAGAATGGAAAAGGTAACAATAGATAAAAAAAAAATATAAATTAGGAAGGAGGACGAAAACCGGGCGATTGATTTAGAAACAATAGCAAGGAAAATGTATGAGAGAAGAAACATCACGGTCGAATCTATGTAGCCAGATTGATTAAAAGAGATGAAGTAACTATGTACAATTTGTAATTATTTATCTCGGCTTTAAAGAAAGAATGGTTGAATATAAACTATTGTTCCTTTCAAAAAATGATACAGATTACAAAGATTAACAATATGTATACAAACAATATGAATAATTAATGACATAAACTTAATTACATAAAAGCAAGATAAAGAGGCAATAATGGGTGGCTTTATTGCTAAATAGCCACCTCTTCCAGGCAACCTTAGGACGTTAATTACGTTTTAAATTTCGGAATGGCCTAGTGGGCCAATGTTGTGTGTTGTCATTGTAACCTTAGGACGTCAATTACGTTTTAAATTCCGGAATGGCCTAGTGGGCCAATGTTGTGTGTTGTCATTGTAACCTTAGGACGTCAATTACGTTTTAAATTCCGGAATGGCCTAGTGGGCCAATGTTGTGTGTTGTCATTGTAACCTTAGGACGTCAATTACGTTTTAAATTTTGGAATGGCCTAGTGGGCCAAAGTTGTGTGTTGTCATTGTAACCTTAGGACGTTAATTACGTTTTAAATTCTGGAATGGCCTAGTGGGCTAATGTTGTGTGTTGTCATTGTAACCTTAGGACGTTAATTACGTTTTAAATTCCGGAGTGATCCACTAGTTTTCAAATTGATAGGAGTTATTCATTAGTTCGGTTTAGTTCTGTATCGCTCAGTTTGCTCCCACTTATCAGGCTATTTCTCTGTTCAATTCTCTGATTGCTCAGTAGCCAGATATTGATATATTTAATGACAAATTTGATATATTTTATAAATGTTGTTTAAAATTTTTAAGTTTGTAAAATAAACCTATGGCTCACTACACGTTTTGGTGTACTGTAAGTGTGGTAAGTAATTTATAAATTAATAAATTAATGCGTTCCATGACATAAATAAATATAATATGACTCATGATAGTTATTATGTACAATTGAATAACCTACTGATTGGAAAAGGAAGTTATAATGTATATTTATTTACAAATGCCACAGCCCGAGGACCTAACAGATAATGCACATTCTAATAATGGACTGATAATGAATGCCTATAGTATTAAGTTTGCCTTTTGTAACACGTTTTATTGGTCAATAAAGTTTAAATAAATATTTATTTATTTGACACTTTATTGCACCAGTAATACAGGACATGTTGAAGAATGTTCAATAAGTATAGTATAGTACAAAAGGCGGTCTTATTGCTAAATAATCGATCTCTTCCGGACAACCTTTGGATAGAAGGAATTAAAGAATAAATTAGTAGGTAGCGTATTAAAGAAAATTATACATTATATGTATATCAAGAGGTGGAAAGACTCGCAGAAAATCGTAGTGAGTGGCAAGAGTTCCACCGATAAGAGCGCACCTCATAAATAGGGTAGATAGAAAGATATTAAATTCAATTCAATTCAATTTATTTATTGCATTCTACAATATTATTATAAAAGATGTTATATATATATGTATATATATATATATATATATATATATATATATATATATATATATATATATATATATATAACACACATAATTTATGGTCGCAAATATGGAGCACTAAGTGATTATAAATATATTTAAGTACTCGAATCTACCTAACTTGGTACGTCATTAGCTACACGCTGTTCCAAAATAAACCTATCGTATTGACGCACATACATGTTTGCCGTTTTCCCTTTTGTATATAAATATTTTGGTTTTTCTCTATATGATGTTACGAATATTAATTAAATTAATTAACAATACCATCTGTTGACGTTAATATCATATTTTATTATTATTCAATTATTTTAATTCTATATCCATGTAGGTTAATTCTAATCAACTTTATTAAGCCTCATTAGATTGATATCATTTAATCCTCAAACAAAAAGAGATCTATTGTATAAATGAATGATTAATTTTCTCTTCCCAAAAGAAAGTAAAAAATAAAGGCTTGAGTAAAATTGAATATGTGAGACCAATTTTGTGAGAAACTGGTGTCAACAGTAGGTTTTGAAAAGACCTGTGTTACAAATCACCAGTGCTCCATCGTCATGGACTATACACTGTGTGTGTATGTGTAAGAGAGAGAAAGAGTGAGTGTGTGTCTATTTATCTATAAGTACTAGAGGGTGCAACTGATTTATAGAGTCAAAAGTGTGGGTATTCTAAGAAATATTAAAGTGTAGAATCGTTCAAGTAAATAACGTTTCCTAGATTGATATCTTCTTTATATTGATGGAGACAAGAGATTTCCTGTTTGATGGTAATAAAAAATTTTAGGTTTTTTTTTATGCAATATAAAATGGCAAACAAGCTGACGGGGCCACCTGATGGAAAGTGGTAGCCGTCGCCTATAAACATGAGTTGTATCAAGTATATAACAGAGTATACTGTTTCAGGTTTTATTCCTCTGTATCCTGTAAATTCGCTGTCATATCCCACACTTCAAATCGAAACACAGCCATTTAAACAAGGTATTTAATTATCTATATTTAGCAACTTGATCTGTGTAAGGGATATATATTTAACAAGCAATCCAATTGGTTATAAATGTGGGGGCCAAGAAAACAGAAGAAGTTTTGGGAGAAATTAGTGCGGAAAGCGAACGACACACTGAAATTTCTGTGTTTACAGCTACTTAGATTTGAATCGTAGTGTAATTGGGAGTGATTCAACCGTTAAGCTTTCACGTCTATATAAAGATATTTGTTTGTATTACTTATAGCACACAAATAACATCATATATCGGTAAATACTTAAAAAAAGAGGGGGAAAGGGATTGTTAGTAATGGAGACTGAGAATCCTATTGCTAGCAATATACCCAACCAGGTCGACCTCCTCGCGGTTCTCCCTGGAAACTATCATGGTTAATTCCTGATTAATTCATCATGATGGGCTAACTGGCCTGTTTTCATTCTCATCTATCACCCTTCACTGGTGCTCCGCCAGCGTATCCCGTTAGCGCAGGCGGGGTTACCATACCATATTAACCCATTAAAAATTATTACTTAAAAAATAAAATAAAAGAATACATATAAAAAAAAATTGTATATGTATTAAAAATAAACAATAATATAAAAACCAATTTCAAAAGTTTTAGAAAATTGTAGAATACCAGTAATAATATATCTAGTTTAAATAAGAAAATAAAAAGACAAATACACATTTCTTTCTAAAAGGCCGGCAGCATATTTGTAATTTATCCGGTGTTGTGGTTATTCATGCGCGGCGGTAGTCACCGTCAGGCGAAACGCATATTCGTTTGCCCCCTGTTATATAAAAAAAAATACCAATAATAAATATTTAAATCTAGTATACATATATTTACATGGTTATTATCCTTCAAACTGTCTTTGCGCATCTTCATTCAACTTGTAGAATAAATCCCAAAAAGCCATCCTTTCTTTAAGTGGTCTTGATTTAATTGATAATTCCGAATCTATATTTAAATAATTCCACTTGTCTTCTGTTAGAGGTGTCCATTTGACTGGTAATAGTTCTGATGTAGCTGGTGTAGGATCTCTGAAAGTACATGGACAAAATTTTATAAAAACTATTGATGTAACTACTATTGCTATTATAAAGATACTTAAATCATTTTTTTTTCTAAAATATCTCTATTGTGCAATGTTAAAATTATTATATTAGTAAAATTTAAAAAATTATGTACACAAAGCAATGTACACGATGTTGATGTTTCGAACTATCTTTATGAAATAGAGACAACTTTAATATCTGAAAGTGGTAAGGTTTTTAACACTTCTTTACTTTCTGCTTACACTGTAATAAACATCGTATTCGTATGAGAATAGATAGAAGTTTTAAATAATTGTATTTGCTATGCAAATAAGAACTTACTCGTATTTAGCAAAGTTAGTCCACATTGTTGTCATTTGTTCTAATATGAGCATATCTTTTTCATTGTCTTCAGAAAGAAATGATACATCAAACAAATATCCTATTTCATCAGTATGAAAAGCACCTTCTCCAGTGACATTATTTCGTGCTCTGTAGAAATTCCTTCCACCGCTATATGAAAACATGTAATAAAATATATTTTCGGCAGAATTTTCTATATATTGTTTAATACTTCTTTGAATTGGGTGAATATATGTACAATCAGAATCAAAATCACCAATCTCATCTTTTACAGTTACATTTATTTTTTCATCACCAAGATAAAAGTGATGAACAATATTTTCCATTTCCGCTAGTTCATTGTCATCAAAATTGAAAGACTGGTCCAATTTTTCATGTATGATATTCAAATTTTCGAAATATTCTGGTTTTTTTGTAACATACTGAGACGATCTTTCTTTGTTATTAAATCCTATAAGTATTGGCATTCCTTTTACTTTCGGAATTTCTGTGTTAATCCAAGGTTTTGTTAAAAACGGTTTTATATCATTGAATTCTGTCTCTATACATGGTTTAAATACCATATTTAGCGTATTGGCAGTTGTAATGACTAAATGAGAATCAATCTGAGCAATAAAATTCAAAGCTTCGGATACAGAGTCAGTTTCAAAACCCAAAAAATTAGCTATCTTTACAGGAGCTACTGTATCTGGTTTACCAGGTGTTTGTAATACCTTTGAAGCTAAAGATGTTCCACTCTGCATTATAACACGATTGAAAAGATTGTCGTGTTCAGCTAATAGATGTAAATCTATTGATATACCACCTGAACTTCGTCCAAATAAAGTTATTCTATTAACATCACCTCCAAATGCTTCGATATTATCTTTAACCCACCTAAAAGCTAATACCTGATCTTTCAGGCCTTGATTGCCCGGTACGTCTGGCGTGTGAAGGCACATAAAGCCATATGGGCCAAGACGATAATTGATTGATACTAAAATTATGCCTTTATTCACCAAATATTTTGGACCATATTCGGATATTCTTCCACTGCCGGAAGTGAATGATCCACCGTGAATATAAATCATAACAGGTAAGCGGTTTTGGGAATTAGCTGAGTTTGGCACGTAAACGTTTAAAAATAAGCAATTTATATCTCCTATTTTTATTCCAGAAGATTGATATTGTGGGCATAACATAAGGGAGTCATCATATGCTTCAAATACATTTCTAAACTTTTCCTGTGGTGTAGCAATCTGGAATGTAATTAATTATTGTATTAGGACTAATGTTAAATAATTATTTAACATTTTGATATTTATATTTTTTTATGCAACTTGGAATGGCAAATAAGCTGACGGTCCATCTGAAAGAAAGTGGTAACCGTCGCATATGGACATGAACACTATCATGGACATAACCGAGTTTACTGTTTCGTCAATGATACTCCCCATGCGTTGCTATTCTTGAGGGCTAAGGTGTTATACCTCTGTACCTAGTAAAGTCACTGCCATACTCCACCCTACCGAAATACAGCCATGCAAAGACAACTGATTTACAGTAGAAACACGAATGCGACAGAGGTACCCAAGCAAATGACTTTTGTACAAAATCTCACTTGGGTAAATTATATTATTCTGTTTTTCAAATTGAAATATAGTAAATTAATAATTAATATTAATTCATATTTAATTTGTAATATAATCTTTTAATTTTATTGTATATTAATTTTTATACATTTTGTGATATTTTTTTCGGTATTTTGCTTTATACATTTATAATCAACCAAGTGGATGATATGAAGTTAAACGAAAAAGGAAGGACCTTGATATTAAAATTAAAATTATTCGTAGTAATGTTACAGAGTAGGAAATGGTAATGCGAGGCAAGACGCTGTGACAAAAAGCGAAGAAACCCCTGAAGAAGACTTCCGGATGAAGTTGAAACAATTCTTGGGAACGACAAAACGCAGTGAGTTCATTAATTCCCCGTATGTATAAAGACATCGAATAAAAAATGTTTTAAAATAATAGAGTAGGAAATGTAGTATTTTTTCTAATTAATTTTACTAATAATATAAATATGAAAGTTTGTAAAGATATTTGGATGGTTGTATGTTTGTTACTTAGTCACACATAAACGGCTGAATGGATTTAAGTGAATTTTGGTATAGCAGACTATATCCTAATTTAAGACATTAGATACTTAATGTATCGTTTGCCTGCCTAACAATAAAAAATACCGATTCACGCGAATAGCACCGCGGGAAATGACAAGTAATATATACAATTGAATTTAAAAGACCTTTTACGTATCGGTTTACGTTATTTATATCGTTCACAATATTATAATTCTAAACAAAGTTCATAACAATTTTTGGCATACTTGGCTCATGGATAATTGTACTTTTGCTAATACATACATAAATATAAATCACGCCTATTTCTCGTTGAGGTAGGCAGGATATATAAATTATTTCAAGTAACTTACCCCATATATTATCGCATATTTAAATTATTTCAAGTAACTTACCCCAAATGGATTACTCTGGTTAACATTAGCAAACGGTATGCCTAGAAACATGGAATAATCGCCATCAGAAGCATGTAAGCCTCTAATTAATCCAGCGTTCGAATCTACTAAAGGGTCTAATCTTAAATTAATATTTTCCACACTGGTAATACAATGAATTAAAAACGTTACTAAAAATAACAACCGCTGTGTAGTCTCCATCTTTCAGTGAAGATGTTTCATCACAAACTGATACGGTATCATGCGAAGATTTATTATTTTTATCTAATAATGAGATTACAACGTTCAATTTATTCATTGGTTATAAAAATGTCTCGTCATCATCATATCAGCCGTTAACTATTCAATGCTGACCATAAGCCTGGTAAGAGGGAGAATTTGTACAAAAGTCGATTGCTTGGGTACCTCTGTCTCTTTCGTATTTCAACCGTAAAGCAGTTGTGTTTGCATGGCTGTGTTTCGGTTTGAAGGGTGGGATATGGCGTGAATTTACAGGGTACAGAGGAATAACATCTGAGTCCTCAGGAATTGCAACGTATAGGGGGTATCATGGGCGAAACAGTATACTCTGTTATGTCCATGGTACTGCTCATATCTATAGGCGATAGTTACCACTTTCCATCAGGTGAGCCATCAGCTTGTTTGTCATTCTAAGTTGTATATAAAAAAAAAAAGAAAAAACAAGCCTCTTCTATAAAGGGATTTTGCCAGTAGTTGCTACCTCTGGCAAGCGGATTTGATCTTTTAACAGAAACGCTGCTGTCTATTCTTCGACCATTAAGTTTTCTTAGTCGCCTCTTACGACAACTACGGGAAAGAAAGGGGCGGCCCATACTAGGCCAGGATCATACGACGAAATACAAATATTTACAGTATTGAAAAATTTAATTTTTATTTCAGCCTTTTACTGTCCACTTTTGGACATAAGCCTTCCCCATAAGGGGAGTTTTGCCAGTAGTTGTCACACTTGGCAAGCGGGTTGGCAACCGCAGTTAGGCTTTTAGAGATGTTTTAAGAGAGACGCTGCTGCTCAACCCTCGTCCCCCCTTAGTCGCCTCTTACGACACCCACAGAAAAGGAGGGGGTTGCCCACAGTATTGAAAAATATATTATTTTAATTCACTTAACAAATTTATTTCCAACAATTTTTCATTTATTAAACTACATAGCATAAATTTAGAAATCTAATTAAAATATTAAAATAATGTTCTCAGTTGTTTAGTATTCGATGTTTCTCTTTGTAACAAAATTTCCAATATTTCTCATGAGAGATAATGGGTTTGCATTCTGGTTGTGTAGCGGTTCAATACACTGCTTTGCTATCCGACTATTGTAGGTTCTATCTTCGTACCATACAAAAATTTTAAATCATGATTATAAATGTTTGTATTGATCTGGGTGTTTTGTATATAAATGATGTTGTGTGAGTGTTTCGCAAAAAGTATAATGATAATAAAATTAAATGAAACGAAACGAAACGAAATATTTATTTACTTTAGACAGACGTTTATTATAATAAAGGTCATGTGACATAACTTTTTGGCATCTGTTTAAATACCTCAAAATTGTAGGCATGCAAATTCAATATACTAATTAAGTTAGGATATAGTTAGATTATAGTAAGGAGTTTAACATTTCGTTCGTCATACATCCTATCATAAAAGTCCAAAGGAACAATATTTTAACATTTTTAATATTTCCAAATGACATGTATTATGTAATTTTATAATATATATATATATATATATATATATATATATATATATATATATATATATATATTATATACTTAGTATATATTATATATATATTTTATATTTATATTAACTTTAATTTATTGTTGTATTGTTTTTATACAATAAGAGCTATTTGAAATATATAAATTTAGTTGAAAAAAAAAAAAAAATAAAAATAAAAACTAAAATTATAATCAAATTTCTGTTTCGTTTGGCTCCGAAATTTCGGAAAACATTTCATGGTAAGCCCTCAGTTTAGCACTACACATTTTATTTTTATATTAAGCTAGGACTCTGCCTTCTAATTTATCGCTTAATATATTCATGTCCTTCAATTTTATCAGGTAACTCATAATCATTTGTATGATCTTTAGAGATACAATAATTTACCTTTCCGTATCCCAATTCAAGTGAATCCGAAGTTACGCGATTTCCAAATCTCGTTGATTCGTTCAAACGCCATACAACTCTCGATTACTCACTCCCTCCATACTATTGTTTAGCTAATATGCATGTTTGGACATGTTGTGTGAAATTGACGCATTGCTAGGAATTAGAAGCTCACAGAGATACGTGAGCATGTACCCCGGCTCACGCGGATTTGACTAACGCCGTATCGCATTACTTTTGACAAAGGTTCGGAGTATAACTGTATGTAGTCCATCAATACAAGTACATACAGGGGTCAATCTGTTACACCGCTGACAGTGTCGCAGCATGATTTATCTGCGCCCCGTCGCGCGTCGCCCCGGGATGGTCCGGGCTTGTGAATAATGAAAACTAATTATTTTCCCCGGCATTATGAATATGAATCGCCGACGGCTGCCAACTCTCTTATTTTTCTTCACGATGAACGGCTCTCTCCCGGCAAAGTGATCTTCAACAATATTGTACTTTCAAATAATGAAAATAGATATACTTTCATCGTGTTTCCTATTTATTTATATTATATATTAATGTTCGCGCTCGAATTTACTTCGGCACAATCGATCTCCATTTTGTTTTCTTAATTTAAATATATGCGTTATAAAGTTTTAGGAGAAATAATAATTGGATACGACTTGACTATTGTCTTACGTGAAACCACATTTAGATAAAATATACCAATTACAGTTTCAAATTAAAAAAAAAAAAAGTACAGTAGAGTAAAATAAATTGAACATTAAAAAATAAGAAAATTATAAAAATATTACGCCTTTTAATTTTATATTCATTTATTATTTTCATTCTGTCAAATACCACCAAAAACTCGAATGTCTACATAGGTATTGTTTTGTTTTGTTTTATACAACTTAGAATGGCAAACAAGCTGACGGCCCACCTCATGGAAAGTGGTAACCGTCGCCTATAGACATGAGCAGTACAATGGACATAACAGAGTATACTGTTTCGCCCATGATACCCCCCATGCGTTGCCATTCCTGAGGACTCAGGTGTTATTCCTCTGTACTCAGTAAATTCACGCCATATTCCACCCTTCAAACCAAAACACAGTCATGCAAACACAACTGCTTCACGATTGAAACACGAATGGGACAGAGGTACCCAAGCAATCGATTTTTGTACAAAGTCTCCCTCTGGTTGATCGAAAATTTCTTAAACAATCAAGTAAGTGGTGAGATTACGGCTGACTATCTAGTCTAGTATCTGACTATCTCGAGTTACTAACGTACTATCCACCGATGTATGGGCTATTATTACCTATATATTCTAGATATTATAAGTATAGTAAGTATAAGCAATAGTATTTTTGGCCTTAGTTTCGTCATTATTTTATTATGTAATTTGAGAACGGTTATACCAACTCGACAAATTTTTTATTTAAACATTCATTATAGTTTGAAAAAGTTCCTATAAAGAGAAAAAAAAAATGTCTGAATATACATAAATAGCTTTTTCAAAATGACCGTCTCGAGTTATTGATAAATAAATATACTTAGTGGTCACCAAGTGGTCGAAATTTGACCATAACATGTATTGTAATAAATGAATTTATTATGGTTAACTTTGACATTCAGTACTACAGACTATAGACAAATAATATAAAAAAACAAACAATATTAATCTATCCACAATATGATCACAGTTTTTAAAGATAAACAAAAGAGTATATATGCGTGTGTGTATGTGTATGTTTTAAACGCATGATAGTGTGTGTAATGTTTCTTTAATGCATAATTTTAAAAAAAATAGCATTCCGCACTCCTTCTCTATATAAACTATAAGTGTGTGAAATTTCATACTATATCCGCGTAATTGTCATAAAAAGGGGTACAAAAAAGTTTTTGCTTCACGTAATACAGATAATACTATATATATATATATACGTATATATATACGTCGACAATTACGTCATAACACGAATTGTCACCATTTGTCAGATGCACTCAGAGCGCGGACTGGCCGGCTCTCGATTGAATTAATACCCCGATATTAAAGTGGCCACACGATTTACGGTCTTAATATAGCCGACGTTATACTGGAATAATTGCATTTGATGTACCATCCATAATTTATTAATAAATGCTTGAGCGGAGCCAGCTAGCAATGTAAATTGCGTTATGTTTAGATGGGAAAGAGACATTACATATTGGGTCAAAGATGAAAGGAGGACGGATATTAAAAAAAAATTATACTAAAATTATGTGTCAACGTTTCCCGTCATCGCTAGATCAATCTCATGCTTTAGTATCCAATTAAAGGGGCTACCATTGAAATGTTTTCCGGAATTTTGAGGTCGAACGAAACACAAATTGGATGTAAAACTTACATAATACATACCGTTTAAAAATTTTAAATATGTTAAAATATCGTTCTTTTGGATTTTTGTAGGTAGTATGGTAAGATTCATAATGAGCAAAATTTTTTTTGATGGGTGAAAATGAAATGGTAACCCCGCCTGCGCTAATGGGATACGCTGGCGGAGCTCCAATGAAGGGTGATAGATGAGAATGAAATCAGACCAGTTAGCCCATCATGATGAATTCATCAAGATTTAACCATGTAGTTTCCGGGGGAAACCGCGAGGAGGTCGACCTGGTTGGGTATATTGCTAGCAATGGAATTCTCAGTCTCCATTACTAACAATCCCTTTCTCCCTAACGAACAAAGTTTGAAACTCCATTTACTGTGTCGATTTCGGTATGAACGGAAATACGAAATAGATTCCGAAATTTTGTCATTTCATTTCATGGTATATATATATATATATATATATATATATATATATATATATATTATAATATAAACAGCAGCTTGAAGCAAATTTTTAAGTGTAAACTTGAGTTATGTTGCTTAAAACATTCTAGTTTAATAACACGATAGTGAATCTACTTTCAACCGATTTAAAAAAGAAGAAGGTTTACAATTTGATTGTATTTTTGTTGTTAATGTTTGTTACCTCATAACTGCGTCAATTATAACTTTTAAAACCTTTTTTTTATCTGAAAGGATATACTTACAGATTGGTTTTACAGAA